TACAGCTTCTAGGAAGTCAAGAAAGGTATGTCCTGGACACCTTGATCGTACATGGGGCAGTATTTAAGAAGCACTCAGAGAATATACATTCAACTTGTAAACATAAAGGCACAACAGATATTAATAGGTCAGCATTTTTTTCTGCCATAAAGTCAGAGTTTCTTAGTGTGCAAGGGTGATCTTACTGTGCCACAAAACTGACTTAGGGTCTTTCCTACCACTCTCCTTCCTTACTGTGGACATAGGGAGAAGGGGGAAGGTGGAAGACAAATGACTGGATCAAGACATTCTGAGCTGATCTCAAAGTTTAAGCTCTCTGGGTTCTAGACATAGACTCAGCTCCTGGTGCAGGGGCCTGGCCAGGGAAAGCCTGTGACACCTGGGCACTTCTTAGCTGCCAGAAGAGTGGCCTTTTGTAGGCCATCCTGCAGACAAGCACTGCACCTGTATAGCTCAGGATTGCACCAGGGGGCCCTTTATTTCTGAAGGAGATACTTAGAAATGTGCTTCATTTCTATTTGCATATTAACACAACTTTTTTCTTGAAAAGAATTTCATTACCACAAGGAGAAAATGAAGCACTCACTGTCTAGGTACTAGATGATCACTGTAAAGGGTGCAATGTTAATTGTTTCTAAATGTTTATACTGTTTTAGGTTTATGGTCAATGCAAAGCAATTATCTACATTAATCAGGCAAGAAATATTGCTCATCTGAACACTTACAAGTGCATTTTACAACCAGGTATGTCTTCATTTAACACACTCACTTTAAAAGAGGACTGGAAAAACACTCTTTGCCATATAGCATTACTTTAAATTCTAATTGTAATTATGGCACCACAGCGTCTCCATTAGCTTTCAGCTGCCCTAATTTTCTCAAGTCAGTGATCACAAGACCAGTGTGGTTCCGCGGCTCAAAGCAGTGCAGTAATAACTGTTTTCACCTCTGGGAAACCCAGCAGAGCCTCTATGTGGGCTTCCATCCTCTGGTCCAAAAAGTATTTTTATGGGTTTGTGAAAAGCAAGTAAAACGAGCAAGCCCACTATCAGCAGGTTGAGGTTTTTTATGCAGTGTCTCTGCCTCCACTGCCACACTTTCATGGGTCTGCAAATTCACAAAGATTCAAAATTACTGAGTGAATCAAACCACATATTGTTACTCCAGGGGACTGGAAGACAAGTGGGTAGGGTTGGGGGCATAGATGCATTTACAGTGACCTACGCTATCAACACGCTCTTATGGTTATGCTTTCTCTAATGACATTGTTTTGTTTGAATAAAGTTCCACCCAGATATATTTGGACAGTATGTCCTGACTGCCCAGTTGATGACTGTCCAACCGAGCCGAAATATTTGGAGGCTGCTGTTCAAAGCCTTGCCAAGTTCAACCAAGAGAGTGAACAAACTCATTATTTCTCTGTCCTCAATGTCACAAGAGCTTCAATGCAGGTAAGCCAAGGCTCGTCTGACTTGCTTTAGTCCTCAAGAAGTATGGATCCACTTGTTACGCACTTTGACTCCATTCATTGCAAAAAGAGGGGCTTTATGAAAAACTCAAGACACAGATTGGAGTTCCAAAGTTTAGGAAACCTTCACAGTGAGTTCTTTCTTCTACCACCACCATGAATTACTGACTCCCTAACAGAAAGTATTTATAAAGCACAGTCATCCCTTCCAACACTTACGTGTCATTCGATAAATGAGTATAGACATAGTTTAAAACTAGTTTTAGACTAACAGAGAGTTAAGGATCTCCTGGCTAAATCCTAGTTTTTTTACCACAGTAATACCCAGTCTCTCTAAAATTCATTATGTAGAGATAACAAGGTGGTTTCCACTCTTTGTCTCAAACTGTTGGATATTACTATGATACAGTATTTAATCGCTGCCATTTTCCAACTGAGGTACTTGCATTTCAGAAATAGAAAAAGTGATCCTGTTCATTAAAGCAGCCAGAAATGATCAACAAGGCACTGAAGAAGGTCTTTGGATCTGTAGTTCTATGTGGATGCTAACTTATTACAAATCCTAAACTCATTTCAACTGTAGCTGATCCATGAATTACTAAGATTGTGCATATATAAGAAGTAAAAAATAACCAGGCAATAAAGCAGCACTGGCAAAAACTTATTCTACTGTAATACAACTAACAGTAATGTCCCAAGTATAACCTGCTCCTTCCACACTCAGCAGGAGTTTCATGTCTGTTTCAAGGTCTGTAGGATTCTTCCTTCTTCCTGACATATGCACAAGGTCTAATTGCCACTGTCTGTCTGTCATTAACAGTGGGTCATTGGTCCTGCATATTTTGTAGAGTTTTTAATTCAGGAGACATCTTGCTTCAAAAATGACACAACTGCTAACATCTCCAGCTGCAAGCCACTTTCATCAGAACAAGCTGTAAGTACTTTTCCTTGTATAAACACCTATTTCTCAGATACTGCGATTCCTCAGTGAATACTTGGCTTATCCCTTTGGTTCTTTGCAGAGAAGAATCAAAGCCCACAGGCATCTTTTTATGGTTTGTAGCTCTATACTGTCTTGGAACTGTACAAACTGCTTCAGCATAGAGAAAATGTTTCAGGGAAAGTTTTGAATTCTTACCTAGAAGTCCATGAACAAAGAAAACAGAAAAAAATACCATCCAGAAAAAGGCAGTGTAGCCACCACCTTACAATACTGAACCATCTTCAAGGATTTCTTCCAAGTAAACAGACACAGACAATAAAGCACAAACAGTGCATAAAGAATATATTCATACTACAATCAGGTCAGCTAAGGAAAATATTTAGGAACTAAAGAAAAAATTAAGAGAAACTGAAAGACTAAATGGGCATGCTGCCTGTAACATTTCAATCCCCGTCTTAACTGAGATCCAAGCCATGTTACCTAGAGCCCAGTAAAAACACAACTATTAGAAACATTTTTTCATGGTTCCTTTCACCAGTGTGGTGTGAGATCGGTTTTGCCTGAAAAATGATATTATGTTCTACTACACAACTTGCCTGCATGGCGATATTCTGCTGCAGCAGAACTTGGGTGTGTTGTTGTAGTTGCGCCTTAAGCAGCCAGCTTATTTTTACTATCGTGTTACCTAAACCTTCTTTAAAAACATAAAGCTTTTTTCAAAATGCTGCCTGCCTTTGTAAGCTTGACAATCCCAAAATAAAAGTTTGCCTAAGCTGCTTATCCTTACAAATATGTGTAGAAGTTATAACTATTCAGCCTTTCATAATCACTTACTTTACAAGATAGGAGCTAAGTATCAGTGCTACAATGTGAAAAAAATGCTTGTATTTTCTTCTTCCAGCACATAGGTTTCTGCAAAGGCTCTGTAGTAAACAGTCATTTGGAACACCAACAGTTTGTCACGATATCCTGTGAAATCTACAGTCTGCAGGTATTTCTTAATCTAATCTTACTATGGCCAGAGTAATATTCCTTCGCAAAACAAGAACTGAATTCTTGAAAGCCCAGCCATTTGCAAATTTTCTTATTCACAAAGATATGGGCTTCAAGGAAGTGATCAGGCCCAATCAGGAAGAAATCTCTCTTGCGACAAAACAGACGGTTGCTAGGTGGATAAAAAGGCAATAGAATAAGTACAGAGTCAATCATACAGAATGTGTTCAGAATGCTCCACAAAGAAATTGCAAATGAATGCAAAGAGCAGTAACTGGGTAGTTACCCAAGTGCCATACACCCATCTCCTCTGGCATAAGAAGTAGTTCCATCTGTCTATTCTTTGAGCTTCTGTTCTGCAGCTGGCCTTTGCAGACTGCAACTGCAGCAGGTCCTTAGTGTGAAGGGTGACCTTCTTCATATCTGAAAGAATTTGGAATAACTTCAATATAGGTAATGCTTATTGCCTGTTATTTAGGATCCTGCCACTGAAGAAGGGAAACAGCAAGCTAATCAGACACCTGGGAAATCCAGCCAGAATCATCAACAAACTGTCCCTTCAGAAACCAATCCTTTCTCCCCACACCTAGAAAAAACAGTGGGCTGGGTTAAAATTCTACCCCCTTCAACTAAGGACATCTCTTTACGAAACCTACCAGAAAGTCAAAATGAACATAAAGATGGAAAGCCAGTTCCACCTGAGGCTGTAGGACCTACGCCCAGTCTTGGAGAAAAGACTCAAGTAGACAAACCAGACTTGATCAAACCAGTCACTGGACCAGTTATTCTCCCTTTTCCTGAAGAACTTTCTCTATCAGACTCATGCCCAGGAGAAGCAAAGGGGACAAATTCCATCCTCCAGCCTTTGCTGCCTAAAAAGCCTACCAAAGCCTAGCCAACATCCAATCACCTCAACTACCTGCAACAAATTAACAGCCACAATGGCAACTTGGTCTTTCAATTTGTCTAACACCTCTAAATAAATAAACTGCTTACTACAGCCTTCATCTTTGGAGTTCTCAGTTTTAAGAAAGCACAAGAATAGATTAGAAAAAGAAATTTAACTGGGGCGTTTTCCAACAAAAGAATTTGGCTTTTAATTCTCAAATTCTTCCCATCAGTAAGAGCACGAAGGAAAGGTAACTGCAGAGGGTAAAAGAACTTGCAGGGCTGAGACAGCCCAAAGGTATCAGCAAAAAATATCCTCAGTAGCAAAAGTCTGTCAGGACACAGTGCAGGATGGCTGCTCTCTGAGGGAGGGTGAGACGGAGCCAAGCATGATGACCAGTGTGGCAGGGCAGGGGCCTGTCCCGTGGTCCCTGAGTGAGGCTAGCAGGGCAGACCCTGGGATGGCAGTCCGGTTACAGGACGAGGCCAGATCACCAGATAAGTTCATGGGTGATGAGGTGGGTCTGAGGTGAGGCCAGGAAGAGAGGCGGCAGGTCTGAATCTGGGTCTGGATCAGCAGGGTCCATGGCCAGGCACAGGCACAGCTGCGACGCAGCAGGAGCTGCAGCTCAGGCAGGGGCCACAATGCTACAGCCTCAGCTTAAAGCAGCTCCTGTGGGAAGGGGGCTTGGGTCAGTCCTGGCCGTGGCCTTCTCGCAGCGCTGCCTGGGAGCCTGTCCCCAAGGTCACCGAGGGGAAGGGGAACAGCCCCAGCTCGCTGTCACTGAGTCGGCTCTGAGCCCCAGCCAGGGGATGCTCTAAGGGCCCTGACAGAGTCACACCTGGTGTAACGGTGTATAAATGGGGAAGAGGAGTTTGACACTGTTTAGAATCAAAAGCTGGTGAGTTTTTTATTATTTTATGGGTTAATTTAATTATAACATGATGAGCTTAGCCTATTTTTTTATTTCCAATGGAAGATCTCAAGAAAGATTATTTTTTTCCTAATGTTTTATACCCTTGCTTAAAGAAATTGGAAAGGCTACCCACGTGTGAAATCTCTGCACTAATTCTGGCTGGTGGAGAACCAACCCAGGCTATTCAGATTCTTATGCTTTACTGACCCTGCTGTGCAGGAAAAATGATGATTCACAAAATCAGACTAATTCTTTCTTGAGATAGGTCATATTAACTGCCTTACAATAAAAACCACAGGGACACTCTACAGCCTGTAGCTAAGAAAATCAATTTCACTAAAGGCAGACAGCAACTGCACTGACAATAACAAATATAAATAAATGAGAAGACAAGAAGAAGAAAAAGAGTGCACATGGGAAAGAAATGTCATTTGTGGCCAGGAGTGCACTGATACTTGCAATAATTATGGGATTCGTATCAGACCAGAGAGCCTTTCTCTAGTTGCCACCAGATCTGTTAAATCATTTGTTCAAAACAAAATCAATAAAATATTATTGTTTCTGAAGCTCTTATGCTGCTGAATGATCCCTAGAGATGCTGGATAATTTTTCCATTCAGAGAGCCTTTCAACAAAAAATTATGGTTTTGTTAAAGTATTCTGGTATTATGCAATTTGATTAAAAGGCATTTTATTATTATTATAAATAAAATAGAAATAAAAGTATTTTAATTTGAGCGGAGACAAAATAATATTGAAATATTGTATACAGTTATGTTCACAACAAATATGTTTGTTTTTTCAGTTTGTAAAACTTAAACCTTATATAAAGGAGTAATTGCTTCAAAGATTAAAATAAGTCAAAAAATTATGTGTGAAACACATCAACTGAGCAAAAAAGAATTCCATTTCAATTCCACATCATTAGAAATTTCAGCATATTTTGGTTTCATCCATTTCAGAGTATAAAACAATTCAAAACCAAGCAGTTCTCCAAAAATCATAAAATTCAAATTCTATGCAATTCTTACTGTAGTATGAGCTCAAGGCTGTGTCAGCATTCCCCTTTTATCAGGTCACCAAATTACAGCACCTTGTTTTCCCCTTGGGAAGTTTCACCTTTGCCAGCTCAGGTTTCCCTAACGCGACCAGTGCGTTCTACCTCCCTGCACAGGAACTGCTGATTCGCCACGTGCCGAAATCGAGGATACCAGGTGTCGCCCCATGCCCTCACACAGAGCACCCTTGGCTTTAGTGAGTCAGAGGACAAGAGCATTGGGGCAACAGCCTGTCACACTTCAATGATTTTCAAAGTACTTTTTTTGCCCCTCTTTTCAGTTAGTCCTCAAACTTCTCACTTCTGCTATTTTATAATGAGGTCTATTTTATTAACCATTTGCATGTTGATTCTAATCTCACTATGGCTCCATCAGTTTAATGCTACTACCGAGATTTCTATCAACATACCTAACTGGATTCTTCCCCAAAAATAGTACTGGGGAAGAAATCATCTTCATTAACCGCTAGCCGCAGCCAAGAATACCCTGTTTCAGTTAGTTCTTTTCTGACTACAGCTGCTTACAATAGTAAATTGGACGTCAACAGCAGCAAGTGAAGATAAATGAAGTGGAGTTGGTGTGAACATAAACAGGGGGAGTTAAAGAGAACATCTGAATGTCTGGATCCACAGGTTTGAGCATTCAATTTGGATATTGTTTAGCCTGTTCCGCAGACTTGGCTCAGAAATGACATCTGAATCGATATTTTCTCTAGCTTGGATCTGAGATTCAGGTTTAAAGACTTCTATGACTTAAAAATAAATACCAGAAGGAGTGATTATCTAAGCAGTAACTGTATCTACAGTGCAGATCAGCAAGCAGCAGTGGTCAGTGCAGATCCATGGGCATTTCCTTTATTTGCTGTGGCCACTCCAGCACAGTGATTCCTGCACTCAGCTTTCAGTGTCACCTAGGCCACCACCAATGTTTACCATAATTGAGGCCTGGTACTAATGGCCAAGACTAATTTCTTAAACTACGAGTAGGAGACTGAAGATGTACAGTTTCTGTGTTTCCTTTGTCCTCAGGATGTACCTGGAGACAGCTGCGTTCCCAGGTGCCACTGATATAATTAACAGCTGATAACAGTCCAAATCCTGCTGCCGAGTCAGCAGATTTACGCCAATCTGAGAGCGGGCCAGAACTGTGGCTTCCTCCCTCCAACATGCCAACATGGATAGATGAGGGCACAGGATGCAATGCATCTGGTCTCCACACATATACTTTATGTGACAGCATGATCAGACAGGACTGCAGCAAATCCTCTAAAATACTTGCCCAGACAGTGTCAAACCTCTCCATGTTCTGGCCTGGTCTATCTCCTAGCCAGACTGAGCAAAACAGCTGGCAGTAACACACTCTATGTACCTTCAGTCACACCCCAAATGCTGTCTTCTTCTCCCAAGACTATGAACCGGTAAGCACTGCTTCTCCTTGTCCAGCAGAGAACAGGCTAGCAACACCCCGGAGCCCTCCATCCAGTCACTGGAGATGAGAGGTGGGTGGATTTTGGCAGACAATTCCCAATTCACTTCTCAATTTTGTTTAATAGTTTTTGAACACTTACAGATCTTATGATACTATATCATCCATTACTATCTTGCTATCTGGGCAATGTCCAGCTAAAATCTGGTCTGATGTTTATTTGAGCAAACATTCCAGTTTCACATGGACAATGTTTTTTAATTGGGCACAGATAACAAATGGTCAGTGACCTCCAGGACTGTTGATGCTTTTATCAGATATTATCAAGCCTTTATCTCTGAACACAGGTGAGGCATCATGAATGTAGTAACATTCAAAGGGTACAGAATAAGATATGCTGGCTTATTTATGCGTACATTTGCTATGCATCTGTTTAGATTTTTCAGCTACCCTTCTTCTACAGTCATCCTTGTCCAATCAAAAAGAATTTAAAAAAGCAAGACCCAGACATCAAAGTTTTCAAGGTGGGTTTAAAAATCAAGGTTTTTATAAAATAAGTTGATTATAAATTCTATTTCTCTGTCTTCAGAATCTGCCCATTTTACACACTTCATGGTTAAACATTTTCTTCTGCATCTCTGAGATTATACATGTTAAGCAGCTGTATTCAGAACATACATATATTATTTTGATTTCAAAGGTAGGTTTTAAAGACTTCCCACTAGATATAATCATGAATACTATACAATCACAACAGCTGCCAATACTTCCCTTTTGTTAACCTACTACAATTCACAAGCATGAGTTAAAGCTTAAATTTTAAGAACAGTATATTATGCCACAAGCCCTGAAAGAGCCAAATCCCTTGGAACTTGGTCTGACCCCATTTCTTAACATGAAATTCTTAACCTCACTTTTTTCCCCAGCCTCTCAAGCCCCTCAGCAAACAGGTCAGTCTTGCAACACATCCTTAAGGTCATCAACTTACAATTAGGGTGCTTTTATTCCAGAAAGCAATTTGCAGCTGAAGACACTAAGGACAAGACAAGGAACACTGACACACTTTTTACGCCTGGTACTAGTTCTTGAGGCCTCCTACACAACGAGACTTCTGTAACTACATTGTCAAACTGTTCACTTGACAGTTGGTCTCCTCTAAATAGCTTTTGAACTTAAGGTCTGCTTGAATGCAATTTGATAGACAAGGTGAGGAAGCTTCTAAAAGTTTGATAAAAAACTGGTGACTGGTAAAGAAAAATAAGCTGCAGGCTGGGAGGGGAAGCTATAGCTGCCGCTGCTGCTTTGAAAACCACCATTGAAGCAAATTTGTATAACATTGCATTTGCATCAAGGGGCACCCTGTTTACAGCCAGCAGATAAAAATGAGACATGAATGAAGATGTGACGCATTTACATATTTTTCGACCATAGTTGGGGGGCATTTCTGTTAACTGCAGAGCTACCCCAAAAACTGATAAACTTTTTTTTTTTTTAATCAAGGTGTAAAATCAGGCCACCCTGGTATGAAGCTATGAAGTATCAAAGACTAAAGAAAAGGTAAAGAGAAGCTAGCCAAGAATGCACCTACAAGCAACTGGAGCCACATGTGTCTTTGTTAGCCGTACTCCTGCTTAGGAGCAGAAACAACAGCAGCTGTAGAGCAGCGCAGGCTACAAGACGGATTAGGTCTTGCTACCTGCGTAATTGACTGCGCTGTGCGAGTTGGTAATCCCAGCCTGGGAGGGAAGCGCTACTGCAGAAGGCAGAGAACAGTCAGCTAGCGTAGCCGTTGGCCTCCCGAGAAATCAGAGATATCCGTAAACAGCTATGGCTATACTTTAGGAAAGGACTAATTGGTTATTGCATATTATCTCTTTTATTTGTCAGCTCTCTTTTTGTTTTCCCCCTAGAATAAAGTCCTATTTATTAAGTATTTGATACCCTGTTTTTCAAGTGGGGAAAATAAGCCTCTCTTTAGTGTATTCTCCCAGATTTATGGAGAGAGAGAGGTTTAGGATGGATGTTTATTACCAACTCCTTAAAGTTTGAATGTGGATCACCTTTTACTGTTGCCTTGGTAAAAGTCATAGAGATAAACAAGCTTTTGACAAGCTAGTCAAGAGAACTGCCATGTTTGGATAAATATTCCTATTCCTGTCAGCAATCTGTTTATAGAAATAGCTTCATTAAACAACACAAAAATCCTACAAGCAATAAATATAAAAATAAGTATTAAAATATATATCAAACTAGATAAGAAATTATAAAAATACATTATACTGATTCAAGTACAACTAATATTTAATTAACTGCTCTGACTGTGCCTGGAGTGCTTGTCCACGCTGTATTTTAATAATCGAGTCCAAGCTTTCTTTTCCAAAGAAGTAAAGGACAATACTCTCTACAGTGGGAACAGAATCTTACTTTTACTTCCACAGTCAATTTTGCAGGAATTGTACATTTTCTACTGTTTATTCACAGCGTTTCTGTTTCACATATAAAAAATACATAAGCCACTGTCAAGAAAATGATCAGTGTCACAATGAACAGCACAGAACAAAAGGAGAAAAAAAAGAACAAACAATCCGCACACAATAGACGACTAAGGGAATTATGTTATAAATTACCTAATCTGATGCCTTTCTTCAATATGACTGCCCATTTGAAAAATTAAACACTATTATAAGTAGTGAATGGGGGTGTGATTTGGAACACAGCAATGATGTGATTATTATTTTTAACTGATGATGAGATGTATTTTAAATGCCTTTGATTATTTACACAATTATTTACAGATTTATTTTACCACTTTTTTCAATCTTCCAGAAGAAATTCTGAATTATTATAATGAAACATTATAAAAACATAAACAAAAGAAATGCCCTACTGCATCAGAACAGTGGTTCCTCCAGCCCAGTATTTATCTGTCACAGTGGCAAAGGCAACACATGACCTGCCCCCTTTCTGCAAACCATTCATCCCCATTTCCAGTACCCAGAATCATTGTAGTAGGGATTTTAAGGAGTACTCATCTGCCTAGTCCTTCTAGCATGTACTTAAGGACTTGCTGTCCATGAACTTTTCTAAGCCATTTCTGACCCTGCTGATACTACCTGTTCCATATCTTTCTGCGGCAACAAGTTCCAGAGGTTCACTGCCCATTGTGCAGGGTAGTCCATTTAAAACTGATTCACACTAGTTTTGAGTGCCCCCAGTTCTAATATTGTAAGATTCTCCATTTAGATTATCTAATGCCAGAGAACTGTTAAGTGCACCTTGAACTAACTATAAAAGAAAGCCACTACTTGAGCTCTATCATTTTAAAATATGATTTCTTAAACACCAGACATGATAAAAGCTGGATTTTTTTTAATAAGGATTAATGAAATGAGGTAAGGGTTAAGGATGATTACCTACTATATTTCCCAATATTTCTCACAAAAATAAGTCAAAGTCAAACGTGTAAAGCCAAGTCAATTATATAACCAGAACATTTTTCTAAGAGAAGCTGATCCAACCCTTCATACTAACCAGGATTCAGAAAATTTCTCATCTGAATCTGACCTTGTCATTTTGGACTCACATTGATTTTTTGTATTTTCTTATTTAGAGATTGATTTTTGTATTCAAACTTCAGCCACTTCCTGACAAGTGATTACTGCCTTTTAAGAATGTCTTAAACAATCCTGAATAAAAGATTTTGAATAGTGAGACAATGTCTTCTTTCTGCTTAGCAGAGGACATTGGCATATCCTGTGAAAGGTACGAATCTTATTATGTACTGAAGTATTTTAATAAAACCCCAAAAATTACCAGCAATTCTCTAAAGAAGTCTATGAAGTCTGCTATAGCCAAAGAGCACACAAAACTGCCCAAATTGAGAATGTCACTTCATGCTATGGCTAGATTACATCGGTATTAAGCCAGTTCCCTTCTGAGTATCAGTCTGAAATGATGTAAAGCTCATAGAAGTTTGCTCTAAATTTTCTCAAGCTGGAAGAGCAGCAGGGACTCACATAGAAGCTAGGGAGCACCAGCTTGCAAGTGCACCTTGACCTACATCCCTTTTCCAAATCTGAGTGACGTCCTTGTTTCCCTTTCGCTAGTTCTCTGCTAGGTAAGGATCTATAGAAACAGGGATGTGGATATAGCCATCACTTGACCACAAATATTTCAGCATATTTTCAGTTCAACTGTTTTTACAGTAAACAGAAAAACAAGATTGCATAATACATAAACTGGAGCTTCTTAATGCCAGGCTCAGCAACACACTGTTCAGAAGCAAAGCATTTTTCATAGTAAAACACTATTGCACAGTGCCTGCTTATAGAATCACATAGTCCCTTTGGTGGGTAGTCCAGAGAGTATTATAAGGCCTACTTTCGCCAAAATCTGCTCAATCACTATATAATCATTTACTTGCTGTTTGCAAATGTTAATCCAGGGTCAAGGTAATGGCCCGCTGACACAACGCTTCAATTTATATAAAACCAAGCCCTTTTAGCATTCATTTATAACTTTGGTGGGCTACTCTGATTTAAAAGCAGACTACTGGCTTTATCAGAGCATGGGCAGAAGTGACATAACACTGCAGACAAAATGCTGCTTCTAGCTTCAGCTTTTTTTCTAACACTACTGCAGTGCTTGAATGCCCAAAACAAAACAAGCATTACACCTGCAGACTGTAATACCATTGAAACGGATGCAGGAGTGGCCCTGGATTTGGTGAACAAACATCGCAGAGATGGCTACGTTTTTGGTTTATTCCGTGTTGCTGATGCATATGAACTACATATTGTAAGTATCAATTCAAATGCTGATTTACGCAAGACTGATTTTAAAATAACGAGCCAGATCATTAAAAGCTTATGTTTATTGCTTTTAACAGAGCGATGTTGATGTAATTCAATGAATCAGCTCTGACTTACACTATCTGAGTATTCATTTGTACATGATGTGCACATAAGCTTGATTTTGAATGATGCTGAATGCCCTCTATTCTCTTGGCCAACAGGATGTTGGCGTAAGAGATGCTCTGAACAGCTTTATACAACACCAGAAATTAATCTGTCCTGTCTGTTGTCAGCTCTCAGGTGTTACATTCAAAATTTATTTTTGGAGGGTTTCTTTAATCTGTGAACATCTCACACTAATTAGATCAATGTATCCTGCAAGATAGGTATTTTATTATTATCTTAATTTTGGAGATAGCTGGATAACTTTAGGGAAGGGAAAAAAGCAGAGGAAGCCAAAGGGGATGAAAACGCCACTCTGCAAAACAGGGGAAGGGCTGAAAAGAGAATCCATATCAGTCATTTCCTATTTCCTTCCTATTTCTATTTCTGTTTCCCAGAAAGGATACATAAGCCTTTCTCAATGATTGCCTAATGCCAAAGCAAATCAAGAGCAGAAAAAGCAATAGAATAAAAAATTTCATTACCTAGTAGAAAAAGGAGACCAAGGACATGCAGATTTGCTAATGCACCCGGCTACCTTTTAGCTGCTTGGCTACGAAACTAGAATCCAGGCCCACACGCACTGTTTAAGAAGTGTATTACGCATCTCAGTATGGCAACTGAAAAAACACGCTAGTTTTGATGGAGCTGCTTAAGACTGCCTGCTAGGACAAGAAAAAGCTCAGAAAGTAACCCAAAGCCTGGATTCCTACAGGTCTTTGGGTATATTTCCAAAAAACCTGATGGATTATCTCGCTTTTCAAAGACAAGAATGTGGCAAGTGATACTATTGGGTTTTGCGTAACAGCCAAGTAGTTAAAGAGCTCATCTAGGAAGCAATCAGTCCTCTTCGGCATTAAGAGATTTAAACCCTCAAGTCTCCCATCCTTGATGAATGCTGCTGCCATGCAGCTATGGGTGTGCCACCTCTGTGAAGTGGAGCCATCGGGCAGCAAGACGTGCAAAATTCATTGGATGAATGAGAAAAAACGTATTTGTACCTAAAAAGAAAAACCTCAGTGTTTCTACCTTTTAAATAATTATTGCCTATAAAAACTATAGAACCATAACCTGGAATAAGGACCAGAACTGAGGATTCACACTTCCATGTGAATCTACCATGCTTATGTTTTGCTTTGTACTGTTAGTTAATTTTACTGTCTTTGCAGTCCAGGCCACAGCTTCAGTTATCACACAGAGTCTACAAGAACAGAAAAGACCCTTCTATCTATCTTAATGATAAAGAATTATCCCTGTAAGGTCTCTGTACCTTCTCAGACTCATAGCCACTAGCTGTGGTCTCTTGCATACTGATCACGTACACTATTGTGCAAGAAGTGATGCTGTCTCCACTGCCAAGATGACATTAAAAAGATAATATTAAAAAAAAAAGACCACAACATTCATTTTATTATCTCCATGCAATAGTGTGCATCAAGGCTGTCATATCAACCACCTTAGAAACTTAAGCAGAGCAATTCCTAGTAGCCAGATCTCTACTGGGTTTACATGGGAGTTCTAGAAGTGTAAGATACTCAAGTGTTCACACTAGAACAGTTTTGGGCTTGCGCAGTGCAAAACTCTGGTGTCCAAGACGCTTTTAAAACAACCAAGAAGGCACCATACAAGATGGGTTTTTTTCCAAGAGCTATCCACCAGATGAACACAAGAATTTTCTACTGCATATTTGGATGTAGACACTTAATTTCACCCAAGCTCTGCTTTAGGCTTTATTGAATCCAAATGCATCCTGCTGAATATTTGCCAGGGATGAAGCGGCTTCTTTAGTATTTCAAAAGTTTGAACGACAAAGTGAATGTGTTTAGTCACTTCAGTTTTAGAGGGCTCCTAGTGAATAGCACATTTTACAAAAGACTATCTTATCTATCTTACCTTCCCATTCAGTGCAATTCCATAAACACAAATCAGAAAAAAATAGTCTTTCTCTTCTCTGTCTGCATTTTACTAATATGTTGACTAGCAGCTTGCAATTATTGGGATTTCCAAAATAAAATAGAAATGCTAACTACTCCTAAGCAGAGAATAATCATGTGGTTAGCGGACAGGATGGGTGTCCAGGAAAACTATATTCTTTCCCTGATTCTGCCAGTGAACAACATGTGTCTTTGTGCAAATCACCTAGCCTCTATTTTAAAAATAGAGACAATGCTAAGACATACTTGTACTGCAAAACACTGGTGGACTCTCTCTAGTAAAAATACTACACTAGATTTCAGTAATTCTTTCTCAAGGTCTCATCTGTACAGAAACACTCTGAAAAGGGAATCTGAACGGATAAAATGTCATAAAACTGGAGGACACTTATTCACAGCAAAGGGCTTTGCATGATTTTATCTAAATGACAAAATAAAATGTCTGTGTTTATTCTGAATGTCCATACAAGAGTTGCATAAAGTTTTAATCATCCATTCTAAACGTAAACTGAGATTCATTTTCCTGCAGAAAAATACAAAATTGTTTCTGTGAGCTACAGATAATTTTTAACATCCCATCCCACTCCACTGGCAGCCAAATTCAAATTCTTACTCTCCATCCTATTTGTTCAGGAGACAGAACATACTAGAAGAATTTCAGAGCTAAGGCTCCTGACTTCTAGGGATTATTACAACTTTGTTGCATTACTCCCTGAATAAACTGAGCAGGAAGCAAAGTTCTGAAAGTATATCTGGTCACTAAGGTAATTTGAAATGGATATTGCCATATAACTGGCTGCCCAGACAACAGATTTCCTGATAGATCAATATGTTCTATGTGAAAATTAGGAAGAGAGAATGGCAACTTTTTAACACTGGCATTTTCCCTGCTTGATGGACGCCAGGTTAACAACAGATTCTTCTCACAGGTTCTCAACAAAAGGATAAGAGGCAACAGTGGTAAGACACAGCAAGGGAAATTCTGACTAGATTCAAGGACAAAAAAAAAATCATGGAGAAAATGGTTAAGTACTGGAACAGCCTAGAGAGGTTGTGGACCATCTGTCTTGGTGATACACAGAACTCAGTTGAATTTAACTTTGAAGTTACCTTTGCCTTGAGCAAGTGGCTGGACAACATGACCTCCAAAGGTCCCTTCCAGCCTAACCTCTTTCTATGCCTGTCAGCTCAGAAAAACCCTAATAAGGAACTGGGGAAGCTACATCAAAGATTAAACATATCTACTTAAAAAAAAAGGTTCTTTCAGACTGAACTGCTAGTATACAAACTCTTTTTTTACCTGCAATTCTCTTCCAGGGAAATTCATCACTCCTCTACTTAACTTTGGATGTACTGGAAACTGAATGCCCTGTATTATCCAGAAGAAACTGGGAGTCTTGTGAATACAGTGACACCTATTTCACGGCAAGTAATGGCACCCAGCCAGAATCATATGTCAATATTGCATTAACTTGCTCTTCATATGAACTGCCCAGGAATTTCTGGGTCACAAAATCTCTAAGCGAAGACTAGGTTTTAATACGGCTCACTATAAAACAAAATCTATAACAAAACCTATTCAATTCTAGAGTTGTTAAACATATGCTAAAAGTTTGCAAAACAGTTGAGAGCTCAAGTAAGTGCAGCTTTATTTAACTAGTTGTCTCAAACGAGCTATACTCTGCATTCCACTGCTGGCAGCAGTACTGATGTTTTAAGAATAATTTGCTGACAACTAAGGGGCAGTAGAAATTTTTTAAGCATGTTCCTAGTATATTACCCAGAAATACTAGTGTTATATTTTGTCTGTTTTCTGTCACAGCATTTGTGGTATGACAATGTGAAATATTGGTAGTGTCAGTACACATATGATGTGTAGCAATACTTGTCCTTTATTGTTACAGTCCAATGATGCAGTCTGGGATGAGAACTACCAGTCCAAAACTTTATTTAAATAGGAGAGTGGTGATACTGCCACACAGGACAAAGCAGGAAGGCCACGAGGAGAAAAAAGAAGACATTTGCTCTTTTTATTAAGATGGGGAAAAGGAATGGAAGAAAAGGTCCATCCACTTTCTGATACAGATTTATGTAACCTTGACTATCTCTGGCATCCTAAGTTCCCCTGCTAGCTAGTATTGTCTTACTGTAAATAAGTATTAGAATGACTGAGAAAGCTGGTTTAGTTTTCCAATGTCTACTCAGTTGTGCCAACTGAGAATTAAAATAAAGGCTCTTGTACAGATAGATCCCATTTTATCTGAACACAAATTTTGAGTGGTACCAGATCAAACATTTCATTAATGACCACATCTGTTATTCCTAGAAGTACTGTACACTAAAAGGAGGCATAATTTCTATGATCATCTACATCCAATTAAATCCAGTGAAAATAACATCATAATCGCATATTCTTTTTTCCTCTCAGGACTTTGGGCAATGTAAGATTATCACATACACAAGCCAGCTGCTGAAGAAACCTCAACTATATGGATTCAATTGTACATTAAGTCCAGGTAAAATAACCACTGTTGTAAGCCAATGCATACCTCAAACCAGTCCTAGCACCAAATATCAAGTCCGTGCACTACTAGTGTGTAGTAACCATAACAGATTCATTCATCTGCTTGCAATTCATATTTTAGATAATTCAAATGGAATGTTAAGAATGAGTAACAGAATTAAGGTTACCCTACTCTTCTAAAGCAGACTTTATCAATGTCAGATGATATCACCATTCTAGCCCACCAAAACACGATAATGAATATCAGAAAAAAAGTAAACTTGTAAAGAATGCCTGTTTGGGGTGGTAAGATTCTAAGGTGGAGCTAAAAGACTTATAAAAATATTCATTTTCACAAGTTTGATTTTTTTCATGTTACAGGACAAACCCATATTTGTGGAGTGACGGATAGATATTTCACTTTCAAGGAAACACTTGCATTTCAGTTTCTCATTATGAGTTCACATTAAAGGCACATGCACACTCCCAAGAGTATCAATACCCATGTAAATTCTCTGTTTTCACAGTCCCTCCTGATTTATTAGAGTGCAAAGACTGTCCTGTAAAAGTTGAAGTCTTAGAAATCACTGAGCAACACAGAAATATTGCTGCGAAGGCCCTGAAGAAATTCAACAGTGAGGGTAACCACACAAACTACTTCAATGTGGACAAAATTGAAAAGGTTTTAAAGATGGTAAGTGGCATTTTGTCCTAGAATTACTTATACATGACAGAATTTTGTGAGCAGCTCCAAAACCATGGGACCAGAACTCAGACCCGCCTAGGATCAGAACTACTGCTTGTCACCTCTCAGTGTAAATCATCTGCTTAAAACTGAAAGTTCTACTTCTGCAAAGACTTATTATCAACTTCAGTTTAGGCATGTGAAAGCAAGAGGATTTCTCATCTGCTAAAAACTATGGCAGCGTGATAGTATCCAAAATGTCAGAGCCTTCTTTGTGTGCATATTTTTATTTTGAATGCCTATTTACCTATCCTATCATAACATACAAGAGTGTATTTACTACTGACCAGAGTTCTTCAAGATGTACAGTCATGTGTATTGTCACAGTCATACATTTTGTCAATCAAAATCAGGTAATTTTTTACTCTTAGAACATTTAGCACATGGGTACCACACAAAGAGGAACACATTCAGCATCATTTTGGCTTTCTGCTGCAGAGCAAAGCAGCACTGTGAGAGCTCCGAAGGACAGGAGATAAATTTGCATCTGTGCTGTACCTATTGAGGAACTACTGGCTCTGACAAATAACTCCTCCATCTTTGAGTGATGTTGACGTGAAGACTTGTCCTTTGGGCGATTTGATGTATAACTCTCACATCACCACAATTTCTTGTTGGCAGATACTGGAGACCTTCACTTAAAGAGCACAGGATCATTCTGCCAACACATATGTCTGTTGAGGACATCTCTGTAATGAGGTCCCATGGCCCCTACCATAATACATGTTGATCTTGGAAACTGCCTAAATTTGCATGCCAATTTTGCAAACTGCATGCCAACCCAACCTCACCTCGCTGTGGCTTTTAATACTGCTTAGAAACCTTACAGTGTTCTACGCTGTAGTCCCATGCAGGACACATCCCTACTCCCATTTAGCCCATGGCTGGTTTTAGATTCACGTATTTCTCCCTAAATGCTTTGTCTTCACACTTCTCCGGCTTTGGCTACAGTGACAATTTAGATTGTACCACTGGATTTCAACAGAGTGCACAACACTTAGAAACTATGAATTATGATTAAAAACCCCCATAAAGTATGTCACCCACTTTTAACCAATTAGTGAAACTTGTGTGCACACACATGCTATGGACACCTCCAATACAGCCTTGAAATAAGCTACTACTACTGGCGGAAATTAAAATGAAACACCTTTTTATGGGTTCTAATAGGATCACAAAGGCTTTCTCCCATACTCTCATGGAGTAATGCCTTCTCTGCAAATAATGCCACTGACACAGAGAAAGCAACAATCTGTGAGAGCAACTGGCAGAATTTCACGCCAAATTAACATCAGCACTGTAGCACCATGCCCCCCACTGGAAAGGGAAGGTTGCCATCCAATAGATCTCTGTATTTTCACAGGGGCAGCAGTTCAATTTTGGGAGAAGACTCTAAGGACATTACTTCCTAAAAACACAGGCTGTAAAAGTAACAGGTTTTATAATATACACATGCTAGACAAAGAAATAAAGTGACCACTCCAGGAACTCATAAGGTGTGAGGCAAGTAAGGTAAAATTATCTAATCTATTTTCCTTACTGAATACAAACATTTCAACAGCACAGGTAGTGAAAGCATGAGGTAGACACAATTTTGACAACAATATAAGTAAGGCTGCTTTTAAAATTACAGGACTTTTTTTTTTTTTTTTTTTTTTTTCCTAGTTACCACGTCTTGTTTGACCTCTTGCTTTCAGACTGCCTCCCGTGAAGGTCACATTTTAGGATTCTCTATAAAAGAGACCAACTGTTCCAAATCCACACAACGAGCAGATCAGGAATTGGAATGTGATTTTCTGGATGACTGGCACGCTGTAAGTAAATATCTCTTAGAATAAGAACTGATACAATGGGTGGCACCAGGAAGATCGTCCCACAATATTTCCAGGTGTTTCTTGTAAGCATGCACCCAAACTCAAAAATAAAGACCCAGCATGTCCAAGTCCAAATCCTAAATTTAGAGCTGCTCCTTTTTATTCTATAAGGAGCCAATCTGAACTCTCAAATCTAAATGTAGTTGGACTCTGGCATATTACAGACCTAGAGCTGAGCTTTTCAGCTTGGATCTGGCTTTCACATTCAAATTGCGGCCACTCCCTAGTAATCATTCATGCTATTTTCACAAAAGGTTTCACACTAATGTGAGCCATAGATCCTGAAAAAAACCCCACGTATGATGTCATCCCAGTGAGTCCAGGGTTACTTTTTGTTTTCTTCTGCTGCACTGGAATGGAGAGTGGAATAATTCAGGCTTGTCTACAGATTACTATGAAAGTATTCTCCTCACCCCACCTTCCTGTTACTATAACAGTCTACAACAAAAAAACAACTAAGCAAGATCATAACTTCAGAATAAATTATTCCCCAGAAATTAAATTGAAGGAAAGAAATAAAGATATGGAAAAAACCAAACATGTAGAACTTTTGTTTCATCTACATCTCTTTTCTTCTCTTGCTCTTTATACTCCAGAAGACTGGAGGCTGTGAATGAACTAGTAGCGGAGCCAAAAGTTCACTAGAATGAAGCACAAGCCAGATAGCTAGAGGTTTTCAATTCTGTTTTCAATGCTGCCACCACTAGTGGGTGGGTGTGTGTAAAATACTATTAACATCTGTAATCATTGATCATAATAGGCTAGTAATGGCCCAAACATATATCAAGATAAAGCATCCACTACAGAGAGCGTACACAGAACCCCTCACCCAAGTTCTGTGGTCTTTTACCTGAGCAAGTCCACACTCAATGACTGGACAGCAAGTGAAAGTCACAGCAAACAGGATGCTAAGGGAAGCAATGCTAAAAGATTATAACAAATTACTTTTCAAAATAAATACAGAAGAAAGATCTGTCTTGAGCTTTGTCTGAAACAGTACAGCTACACGGTGTCTGTTCTTTAGGACTTTGAGCAAAACTTCAGAATAGCCCAATCTGAACACATTTGACAAGCAAAGACAGAAAAAAAATGAATAAAGTTCAGTCACCCACAGGGTACTTGTTTTGGAGACATCAGTAGCTGATCAATTTCTTACAGACATCTTACAAGCAAGATGGAGAGTAGCAGCCCTCTCGATGCACATGGCAAAGCGGTCTTCACAGTCAAGAGCACTCAAAACCAGCATATATTTTAATCAGTATTCATCACTGGCAAGTATCAAAGGTCAGAAAGCTCAGGATCCAGCTAAGTTATGTAAAAATACTTAGGTATCAGAGGAACTAGCCTAACTTTTAAAATGGTGAACTTTCAGTAGCTTCTATTAACTCCATCACAAGAACTCAAATGTGCTTTTTTTTTTTTTCTCTTTTCTTTTGCTTAGCTGGTGGGATTCTGCAAGGCAAGAATTATCAGCGATTCAGATGAACCTGACGGAACAGATATAAACTGTGAAATCTACCAGCCCTGGGTATGTACTCACTTACTGCAGTGTCTCTGGCTATATCCTCATGCAGGCTACAGCAACCTCACTTAGTCCAGTCTGACAGACGGTTCCAACAGTTGTTTAAGTCCCTTTATTATTGCCTGGGTGGGATGCAGCATGTCCGGACAGACTGGCTTTTGACTTCTAGGTCAATTCGAAGATGAATTAGTATTGAGCTGTCCCTACTACTCCTGCCAAGATGTCTTCTTTCAGTCCAGTCATACTCCTTAGTTACAGTGAGTAGAGATCAGCAAACAAGTTCAAAGGAATTTTAGAAAGCAAGAGGAGGGGAGAGGGTCTTTATCATATTTGGTATTCCAGTTTATATTACAACAGCTACTCCAGTGTGGGGTTTATTTTTTTTGATCCCTTACAAATTTTTCTCAGTTGGTTATATAATTTCGTTTTGTTATAGTGTAGTATTTCCAGATGATTTTCAGTAACTTGGCATTTTATCATCTACTCCTCCTTTTCTATCCTGAAAAAAAAACACAGGTTGTTTTTCCTTCCAGATCACTGGAACTGTAAATGCAAACCTGCTAATTCTCACCTCTCTCTCTTTTTCACCACTTTCTTCTGTTCTGTTAACATCTCACATAATACTTCCTCCCATGGTGTTTTTATATACAGCAGCATGACTACGGGCAAAGATGCAGATATTCAGCTCTGGGACAGTCACACAGACATCCCCATCCCCACCGTCATTTTGGTCACAAACATCGTCACAGACATCATCACAGGCACGGATGTCCACACTCTTCTCAATCCAGACCTGAAGACCCTGAGCATAACCATAGTTTCAATGAAGAACATGAAGACAGCCATGAAGAACCTCCTCCTCCCCCCCATGGTGGACCACATCACCACCTTCACCCACCACACCATTGTCCTCCACCTCCTCCTCATGGTGAACCACACCCTCCTCCCCAAGAGGAACTACAACATCACCCTTCTGCTTCTCCTCCCGATAATCCTCCTCTTGGTCCCCATCATGGACCACACTGCCCTCCCCCTCCTCACGGTCCACATCACCACCATCCTTGTCCCCCTTGTCAACCACACTGGCCTCCTCCCCCTCCTCATGGACCACACCACCACCATCCTCATCCCCATCATGGATTACACTGTCCTCCTCCCCCTCCTCATGGACCACATCACCACCATCCTCATCCCCATCATGGATCACACTGTCCTCCTCCCCCTCCTCATGGACCACATCACCACCATCCTCATCCCCATCATGGATCACACTGTCCTCCTCCCCCTCCTCATGGACCACATCACCACCCTCCTCCTCCTCTCCATAGTGAACCACATCCTCCTCCCCAAGAGGAATCACAACATCACCCTTCTGCTCCTCCTCCCCATGATGAACCACATCCTCCTCCTCCTTCCCAAGAGGAATTACATCATCACCCTTCTCCTCTTCCTCCCCATAATGAGCCACACAATCCTCCTCTTGGTCCCCATCATGGACCACACTGCCCTCCCCCTCCTCATGGTCCACATCACCACCATCCTTGTCCCCCTTGTCAACCACACTGGCCTCCTCATGGCTCCTCCCCCTCCTCATGGACCACACCACCACCATCCTTGTCCCCCTTGTGGATCACACTGTCCTCCTCCCCCTCCTCATGGACCACATCACCACCATCCTCATCCCCATCATGGATCACACTGTCCTCCTCCCCAAGAAGAACCACAACATCACCCTTCTGCTTCTCCTCCTCATGATGCACCACAGCCTCTTCTCCAAGAGGAACCATATCAGCCTCCTTCTTCTTCTCCTCCTCTCCATGATGAACCACATCCTCCTCCTCCTTCCCAAGAGGAATTACATCATCACCCTTCTCCTCCTCCTCCCCATAAAGAGCCACATAATCCTCCTCTTGGTCCCCATCATGGACCACATCACCACCATCCTCATCCCCATCATGGATCACACTGTCCTCCTCCTCCTCTCCATCATGGACCACATCACCACCATCCTCATCCCCATCATGGATCACACTGTCCTCCTCCTCCTCTCCATCATGGACCACATCACCCTCCTCCTCCACGACATCCTCCTCATCTCTGTCATCACTATCACAGACATCATTGCAACAAGACAAGCATATTGAGAAAGTACTTTCCATTCCAAATAGCAGGAGCTGTCTATCGCATTCCAGTTCTAAGTCAGTATGATTCTCTCACACCTCCTACTGCAAAATTTCCTGGGCTATCCCAAAGCATGCCTCACTCCTCCAGCACTGGTGAAGGTATTCCTTTCGCTGGCTCAAGTCTAAAGGAGATGCCAGAAGTTCCGGGTTTTCCAGATCACCCTATGCAATCAAAGTCATGCCCAGGAAACCCCAAACTTGTTCTTCCAAAAATTTTGCCATTATTTCCACATAATTCCATGGCAGAAAATTCTCCTACATGACTTCAGAGAAAGATGTTTCTGGCTTGAGAGTTGCAGGGCCAATGACAGTTGTACAATGAATGAAAACAGCATGTGGAGAAGGGGAAAAATGACACAACTTCTAGGGAGAAGTACTGAAAATAACGATTAAGACAAGTATTCCAACCTGCCTCTTGACGCCAGCTATCTCAGACTCCACTGTAACTGAAACAATCGAAATTCTGAGTCTCTCAAGTAATATGAACGGGTACAAATCTCCCCAGCAAACAATGTTCCTTTAGTTCTAACAAAAAGGAAAATTCCCCAATAGTGAAAACTACCATCTAAAATATTTCATTTTCTCATAATTCATAATTATAATATACTTTGCTGAGGAAATTTGACCACTTTCTATAAAGAATGATCCATGGCCCTACATTCACGCTTTATAAAGATTCAAAGAAAATAAAAATATGTAACCATACTTTTTTTCTTGACACCGTTGCCAAAGTTTTGTCTTTTTTTTGTTACTATGGATTTTTAGCCGCACAGTAAAACATCCACGAGGCATACTCTAGCATAAATTGACTGATGGTGGCTGGGTTACCACCATTACCTAGAAAAGGTCTGAGAACAGTTAATGACTTGTAGTGTAACACTGCAGGGTGGCCTGTGCAGGTACTTCGATTGCTACAGTTGCTGGTGGTGACATACCAGAAACATCGAGTTCAAGGACGGCCCTTTCCAAATAGTTCATAATTGCTCTCAGGGGAGGAGAAAAGCAGATGCATGTAGTAACTCTTTCATGTAAGTGTCATGAACCTTCCTCACTGGAAACTGAGTTGGAAGAAGCAGGAAGAAAGAATACTGGTGTCTCTTTACACTCTAGACCTCATCAAGGTAAAGTCCATTCAGACAGACCTGGGACACCAACGAGTTAGTTCAGAACAGTTATCTTATAAGCAAGAACATGGCATTAATCTCAAAAATTTAGTAATTTGGTCCTCAAAGTAGCTTTTTAATGGCTATAAATAAAGTATTTATATATAAATAAAGTATAAAACAATTAAAGTAAAATACAGTATGAGGGTTACATTGAAGAAAAAGAAACAAAATGGGGACAGCATGTTGTGTAACTAAGTGAAGGTTTTCTAATTTTTAAAAGTGTGTTATCATGTACAAATATGCTGGTTTTGGCTGGGATAGTTAATTTTCTTCACAGTAGCTAGTATGGAGCTATGTTTTGGATTTGTGCTGAAAACAGTATTGATAACATCACAGAATCACAGAATGTTAGGGGTTGGAAGGGACCTTGAAGGGATTATCTAGTCCAATCCACCCCCCCTGCCAGAGCAGGACCACCTAGAGTAGATCACACAGGATCATGTCCAGATGGGTTTTGAGTGTCTCCAGAGAAGGAGACTCCCCAACCTCTCTGGGCAGCCTGTTCCAGTGCTTTGTCACCCTCACAGTGAAAAAATTTTTCCTTATGTTAATCTGGAACCTCCTGTGCTCCACTTGCACTCATTACCCCTTGTCCTATCATTGGACATCACTGAGAAGAGCCCGGCTCCATCCTCCTGACACTCGCCCTTTACGTATTTATAAACTTTAATGAAATTACCAGTCTCCTCTTCTCTAAGCTAGAGACCCAGCTCCCTCCGCCTTTCATCACAAGGGAGATGTTCCAC